CGCAGCATCGCATCCCTCAGCCTCATCGGTCTGACAGAATCCACGACTTCATGTCCCTTTTGTGTTTTCCTTCGTCAATGTTTTCTCACTACAGTACCCAGCATGCATTATGCAAATAGGTCATACTGCTGTAAATCCCCCACACACAATATAGAAACCGACTGATGTTCCACATAACTTCTGCCTTTCAAAGTGTGTCCTCAGAGATGAGCTGCTTAGGCACGAGAGGACCGTTCGAGAGAAGCTCATCATTCACTTTCATTCACCTTTCATTTTGGGCTGATTTTATTCTAAAAATAAAGCCGTTTAAAGATCATCTTATGGCCCTGTCCTCTTTTAAAAAGACTGCACTGTCATTTGATCCACAGGCCTGTCAGTCACTTCATGGCTTCAAAATAAACATTTATCTAAACAGTACAGAAAATGATGTGATAAAGCTACAATGAAAAGACTGTGCTGTAATATTTGAAGTACAAGCTGCTCAGTAATACAAAGCATGGAGTAGATTCACTTATTACTACTACTACTACATGTTGCAATACAGTAATTATACTATTTTAGATATTTAAAATTATATTAGATTATTTAAAATTATTATTATTTATCTATTTATTTATTTATAGATAAATATAGATATAGATTTATCAGTTTATTTATGCTACAGTAATGTTACAATATAATAATTACACTTATTTTAGATGATTTAACTTTATTATTATTATTATTATTATTATTATTATTATTATTATTATCTATTTATATATTTATTTGTTCCTTTTGTAATATGTTCAGCTGAGGCTGTTTGTCTTCACTGTGTTGTCTTTTTTTTGCTTTGTTGTTCTCAAATCTATTCTATGGTATATTTTAAGCAACCAGCCAATGATGCAGGAAGTTGTAACTAAATTCATTTTATTTTCATCATGTGGTGAAAGTGCACTGTGGTGCTGATATAGTTATGATGATTTATGTTCTGTTCAACATGTTCACCAAAATTTGCTGGCAGCTCTTACAAACACTGTGGTTATTTGCACCACTTGCTTTAGATTTGCATCATTAAAGCGTCTGCGCAGTCTTTACGTGTTCCTGCTATCTGCTGCATGTGATTTGCTTTTTATGATTCACCCTCTCACTGTTTTACAGTGTTATTCTGCCCCCAGTGGCCAAAACGGTGAACGTTAAAGGGCCATTCCACCCTAAAACTAGCATGTATGTTATTTGTTGTACTATGTAATTTTCTGTAGTGCAGTTTTGCATCCCTCAGCCTCATCGGTCTGACAGAATCCTCTACCGCAGTGCAACAATAGTCCCCAGCTGCAGCCTCGGAGACGCTGTGCTCTCAGACTGTTGCATGCTCAGGTGCTCTGAAAATGCGCATACACTTGCGCTCAGATTCGCTCACTAATTCCATATGTAGTAAATCGGTACATAGTAAATACAAATTCAAGACCCAGATACAACTGTGTGTCAGTCACACATAACAATGTCTAATAAAATTAAGTCTTGTTTCAGATGATTAGCACTGCTAGAATAAATGTTAATTCCTTTAGCGTCACTAGCCCTGTAACTGAATATTTCTAAAAGGGCCTAGTTAGCCTGTTAGCTAGTCTGTTCGCAAGTCAGACTACCTTTATGTCATAGTTTGCTTATAAAATTAATAATAATAGTGCAATACTTGTGAAATGTACCATGTTCTATTGTATTATTAAGCTGTATATCATGTGATAGTATTTTCTAGGTAGTATAAGTAGTGGCAAACATTAACATCAAAGAGTGTAAGTTAAATCAGGAATAAGCACAACAACTGGTTAGCTAAATAGCTAACAGGATGCTATGAACGTTTCAGTTAGTAGCAATGATAACCTGTGATAAAGGCCCAATCCCATTTCTTCTTTTTACCCCTTCCCCTTGTTTTCGAGTGTCACCCTAACCCCTTGGAACTGAGTTACAAGGGGTAGTGGTTGAAATCTTCCCCTACGAAATGGGACCCTCAAATACATTGCTTCATTAACAGGCAACTAGCGGTGCTCTGCAGGCGACCCGGTCCGTCTTCAGTGATAGCAGAGAAGGGACAAGTTCAGCAACCTCACTGCTGTGCTTTAGTTACATTTAGGGCATCATATGCTTTCAACGAGCTTTCAGTGTATTTTCAGTGTTTCTGAGAGTGCACTGTCTCTGAAGCTGCAGCAATACCCTACTCCTGTGCAAGTACATACTGTTAATGTTCAACAGATGTGGAAGCTAATAAGACCTGATATTTGGCTTTCTAGCAGTATCGCTAGCTATCTGGCTTTCCTACCACATTAGCCAGCTTGCACAAACAGCCATATAGCAGCCTCAGTCTTTCAAAAGTACCTCCCTATTTCAAGGTACATCATCAGATTGTTGTTATCCTGATGTTTAAACTGGCCTTTTTGATGTGATGCTGTTCCCCAGCAAACAGCGGACGTCCCTGGGACCTATTTTTGTTAGCTGGATTCAGCTCCTCACAGACGTCCCTGAGACTGGAGTAAACAAGTCCAGATTTCAAGATTTCCCAATCCTTTGGATTTAGCTGTGCTTTGAATGACCACTTTACTGAGATCATCTCGGGTCGTCCTCGTGTGATAAAAGACTATAATAGATAACAGGTTCTCTACGACCACACCAGGTCATCTCAAAGGTCATTCTGTACTACCAATTGATGAGCAGTCAGGTGACGGGTAAGTCTTTCCTGGTACTCATTTCTGAATGAGGCCTACTTACTGAATGAGAAATAAAGGACAACTGTGTGTGTCTGATGTTCTTCTTTTTCATTTCTGCTTTTCAGTTACAGGAATGTGGTTACTTTCTTTATAATGTTTATAATAACTGCACTGTCTTTGTAAATGTTGGTAAAAGTAATGTATGTCTTTCTTAGATAAGGAAACGTGATTTTTCACGGCAGTGGTTGAGTCCCGGTGAAACAGTGTGAAGGTATTCACAGCATACACTGTGTGCCATATTTGATATGCTGTAGTTTTGTGATGATAAGCAGTAATGTTTCCACTTTTCACTTCACTTTTTGCTCTTGTGATTCTGTCTATGTTCTCACTGTGATGGAAATCTGCAGGGTTCCTATTTTCTTGTCCCTGTTGCAAAGAATCGGACCCCCGAGCTCTCTCTCTAATCAGCAGAGACCAAACTCACTGAGAAAAGCTAAAAGAGCAAGAAATGTTTTCTTATAGAGGTGAAGACACTTATTGAAAGTCTTTGATGCATCTTCTCAATGCAACAAATGCAATATGACCAGGGTGCAGAAACTTTTGCATATAACTTATTTAAAAAATATATATAAAATCACTCAGGAACATAAAAGCAACAAAAATATGGTAAAATAATATAAAAATAAGACTGATAAGAGTCAATAGAAATAAGTAAAAACAAGGGAGCTGTTTCATATTTTTGTCCACTTACTACTGTTTATATGGTTTTAAGTACCAAAAACAGTCCTTGTTCATTTTCACATGGCCGTTTTCTAACCTTTCTTTATCCCTCAGAATTACACAGCTTGTTTTGTGGCTGTACCTTTAAGCCTAGTTCATGTAAATGAGCTCTGTTCTGATTGGCTGCCCTATATTGCATGTCTTTCAAAAACAATTAAGTGATTTAACTTTAGTAGTGATTACATACCACAATCAATCTCTTTTATTTAAAATAAAAGATATGGTTAAATTAGTTATATGGCTATAGTTATATAGTTTGTTTTCCCATGATATGGGTCCTCAAAGCACTGAGCTAAACTACCAGAGCAACAAGCGAGATAAAGAGACAAATTTATCTCAAAATTCAGACTTTTATATAAAAATGTCATTTCTTTAATGCATTTTTATCTCTAAATGTAGACTTTTTTCAAAATAGTGATTTTCTTGATATTTTGACTTACTATTTAAAAATAATAACTTTCAGAAAAGTTTTATTTTTATCTCGAAATAATACTTTTTTTGACATGTTAATGTACTGTGATTTCTTAACAAAATTTTGAATTAAGTTTACATTACATTTTATTTTTAAATTTTATTACTGTTGAGGTTTTGGCTTTATATCTCAAAATAATGACATTTTGTCAAAATGTTGATTTTATTTTGAAATAATGTTTTCATTACAGCAAAGCAAATTTAAATTAAAAGGACAGCAGTGCTGGAACTTGGAGAGCAACTTATAGACACAGTCCTGAATTATTTCTTATTGAGACTTATATTATTGTTTTTCAAAGGTAATCTGATTATGTAAAACCATGTAAAGGGGAATTTTTCAAATTTTGTTCGTAATTAAATAGCTGAGAAGTAAACAGTCATTCAGAGTGGTTTGGTGTGAAATGCTCCGTTCTAGAGAAACTTACCAAGTCAGAATTGTTCACAGTGGTGGTGATAGGAACCAGACGTCCACGTCTAAAAGCTCCCTCACAGAATATTATTACACGAAATGGTTTTGAGTACACTGCCTGATGTCTAAGACACTGTTTTATGATAGTTTTGAGGTAAGGATTTAGCCTAAAACAAATATTTTTAAAGCCATTCATGGTGGAGGGATATATGCATGGTGCTGTGAGGCAAAGTAGTCCCCAAAGAAAATTTATTTTTTTAGTTTTTACCATAATCTACATTCCATATAAAACTCAGAAGACTTGTGTAGGTTCACTGGTGGTTTTGGGTAGTAAATAAAATGGCTATATTTGTGTTGTATTCATGGTGACCCCTGGTTCCTGAATGACTCATGTTTATATCTCAGTGACTGAATTATACAGAAATTTTGAAAAATCACTCAAATTCCCCTTTAAAGACATTTGAGGAGGAATGGTATTGGATAGGCTTCTTATATATAATCATAAAGGCACGTGTAATCATTAATGGTCATATGAAAAGTTGTTAACTTTGTTAACCCAAATATCCTAAACTGATCCTGATTTAGCAGAGTAGGTGCGTCGAGGCTGGAACGGGGACCAAGACTACAGTACCCATAATGCTCGGTTTAGTCACATGGAGGTCATATGTCGGTGGTGCTGTATCAGCAGCAGTCCGGTTTGAGGATGATGACTTGTTCATTGAGAACAAAAGGTTTAACCCTAAATACTGAACCGTTCTGTTCTGCTGTTAGCCTTCTCATTTCTTCACGGAACCGGAGAGATACTCCCTGAACAGGTCAGTAATTTGTTTTGATGCTGACATTTCGTGGGAGACAGAAATTGAGGGGCCTGCTGGTCAACACTGGGTTTGACTGCATTGCTGTTGAGCTGAACTGAACTGGGTGGCACATCTCAGATCGTGCTGTCAAATGCTCAGTCTCTGTTTTAAAAAGTCAAAAAAATATGAGTTTTCTTGAAGCAGTGTCGAAGCATTAGGCCCCAGAATGTAACTCCTGTACCATTTAAGGTAGAACGGAAAAATTCAGACAACAGCAATGATGTGATTCAGCATTAAAAAGCATTTAGTTTATAATTAGGCTTGTCTAAGACTGGTCAAACTTATGTTTTTTGTATTTTCACCCAGAGAATGAGTCCTCTCAGATCGATTTTTAAGCTTAGCCGGCAGGGCGGTGCACTTCAGTTTCTGTCTCTGGTGTTGTTTTTTCACGATATAGCCACGTTTATGTATTTTTTCAGTGTTAAATTTGGAAACCCGTCGAGTCTAGATTAATTATTCGCATTCATTGTTTTCGGTTTGTTTTTCCACCCGAGATCGGTTCTATTTTTAAAAAGAGGAAGTTGTAGTTTCGCAGAAGAGACGATAAAACACAAACAGAGCTAAGCAAGCGTTGCTAAAAACTACAATTCCCATGACGCGTTGCGAGAGCAACCGGCTAGTTGGCAGCTCAGCAGCTAAAGGAGCGAAAGTTTACAGGTAAAACCTGATTAATCTGCAGAGAATTACACAATAAGCTTATACACCCTAATAAGCTTATGATTTATGTGCACAATCAGGTTGTAGCTTACGTTGATTAGTTTTTGGCTTGTTTGAGAGCTACATAGTGGTAAAGTCTTTGTGGTTTAGTTATTGGTGGGGGTAATAAATAAAAATAAAGATTAAAATTAGTCCAAAAGCATTTCAGTGGGCATTATTATGAGGTATGTGTGTATGTATATATATATATATATATATATATATATATATATATATATATATATATATATAATTTTTTATTATTATAAAGAGACAGATGTTCCTCTGTGAGGGTTAAATTTTCTGACACACTTTTTTGTCTGAAGTAGGCCTGTCACAGTTATTTGAAATGATCACAATTGCTTAAGTTGCCTGTAGTCATTTTGCACAGTCCGAGATTTCACAGTTATATGGGGTGAATTGGGTTGAGACAAATAAATGTAAAAAGAAGAAAGTAGTAAATGCATTAATTGAGGCACATCATGGGCCTCATGAAAACACAAAGTTTAAACTTCTAAGTTGTAGTAATGTTTGTTTATTTGTTAGCTGTAGCTAATTCTAAAATTTTTAGCATGTATGCTGGCAGAAAAGGTTTTTTTTTGTTTTGTTTTGTTTTGTTACTTACATTTTTTCTCTCATGAAGAACATAATTCTGTGTAAACCTTTGTGTAACTGCGCACACACTATTTATTCAACAGTGGAGTAAGTAAACACAGCTAACAAGTAGGGTGGCTAATCAGCCAGTTTGGCCACTTTTATGTTTTTATGTTTTAACCGTTTCAAAAAAGGAGCAAGAAAAGACAATAAAATTGTTAATTGCAATTATTCCTATTTTGTGACTATGACCGCCCCGGTTTAAAGTGCTCTAAACTACATCTGTTTTTCTTTTCTTCCCCAGGCCGCAATCTCATTCCACCACTGAGCTCTGACTGCGATCTTCACCCTCGTTATGAGGGGACGTGTGAAAGTCCAGCTGTAGAAGTGTGTGCATGTTTTGTCTGACGTGTGACAGCTCCATGGCGTTTTTTTGCCTCCATGTTAAAATGTCCTGAGCAGCTGTGTCTGTGTCTGACCTGAGTCGTGACCCCTGACTCCTGGTGGTTGTGTGTGAGCTTGTATTCGTAAGGTTTGAGTAAACAGAGACTGGAGGAATGTCGCGGGCGAACATGGCCGTAAACAGTGAGGTGGGTGACTGGGGGTACAGTGAAGATGCCGGTGAGAGGGCGTGGCTTTTACAGAGCCCCAGTGTGGACTCCATTCAGGCTCCTGGCCAATCACAGCAGCACAGGGGCGGGACTTCAGCGTTTGGGGCCGTGTTTATAGTTGTGAATGCTGCTTTGGGGGCGGGGCTTCTCAACTTCCCTGCCGCGTTCGGTATGGCTGGAGGAGTGACGGCCGGAGTGGTGCTACAAATGGTGAGACATTGCTTCCATAATGATCACATGATCTACATAGTCATTCTGATAGACTGTAATATACTACAGGAAGTGTAGGGGATGATATGGCTTCTATTATGTCATTTAAAAAGTGCTCTATAATCTTTATATGATCCACACAGTCATTGCCATTGTCACAGTTGTACCGATACAATAAAGCCTTTCTGCGTGCGCTACTGAGTGACACTTGGAAGCAGTAGTAAAAATTCTCATAGCAAAATCTGTAATGATGGGAGGCATGCCTAACAAAGATTTCTATACATTTCTATACACACCACTGAAACCATTCAAACATGAATTGTCCAGCCAGTAAATCCTCTTCATGCAAGCTTAGTATGTTTTTTTATGTCGCTACATACACCTTCATTAACATACACCTTCATTAACTAATTGTAATTATTTGTTTTGCAGTGCATGTTGTTCTTCATCATCACTGGCTTGGTGATCCTGGCTTACTGTTCTCAGGTAAAGAATTTGCACCATGCACTTCACTCAGTCACATACATAAGCTCCTTTCACACCTGCACTTTTGTCTGAGAATTTTACCGTTAATTAAACAGGACAGGATTTCGTTAAAATCGCAGCTAAAGTTGACAGCAGTCATTCAGAACGAGACATAGCACTGTACCCGGTTAATTATCAGGAGGGCTCATGTCAGTAGTGGGCAGTATTTGTAATAAGCATTATACCATAAAGCCACAAACAAGAGCAGATAACAGGATGTACCAATAGTGCAAATGTTAGCCAGTTTATCTGAATGGCTGAGTCAGGAATGTTTCAGTCACGTTTGAAATGATTACTCAATTAATCCAAAATGTGGCAGACCCCTGATCACCTCCCACTGTCGAGTTTGTTGCATCTGAAGAAGTCCGCTTTGTATTCGAGGCAGCGGACGTAAGGGAATGACTGGTCTTTTGGCATTAGCCTTAGCCTAACATGGACACCAGGGCAATTGATTCACTTCTGTTTCCTCTCATATTGCCTGAGGAGCCGCCTGACTTGATCAGCAGCATCAGACGATATCTTGTAGCTCTGTGCATGAAACAAGCTATGCAACAGCTGGTCCTGAAGCTTGAAACAGATGTGAGACGCACATAGGAAACAAATGTTTTGAGAAAGCTGTCCCAGCTGAAAGGTTGTCCCATTTAAGGTTGAATGGAAACTTAAAATGAAAAGCTGACAAGTAAGAAGCAGCCCTCAGCCTAGAAATTCAGACGTGACACAACATTCAACGCTGTTTTTGTGGCCTGAGTTAGAAAGCAATATTGATATAAGTTTATGTACTGTTCAGTTTTGATATTAATATATTTTGCAGTTTTGTTTTAACTGTTATGCACAATGAAGATATTTCAGATTTGCTTTGGTTGTTAAAGAAGGTGCTTATTAAGAAGTGAGTGGATGTCCCAGAATAATAAGCCCCTGTTAACCAAAAAAAAAGAGGTTGACTTAAGCATCTAAAATGGTTCTATATGAGAATTTATGCATACCATGATATATACTGAAACCATCAGAAATTCAGATTTCTATATGGAATTAATTATATAAATATATAAAATTATGACAATACTGCCCACTACTAGCTCATGTGTGAAATTATACATTTTCTGGGAATGCCTAGAGATTAACCCGGCAAAGTTGAACGCTCCTGTGATGCTTTTTTACAGTTAGTTTGGTGACGGCGCAGTGTATGTGTTTTAAGAGTTGAATTTTCTGTTTCAATGAGAGGAAAAAGTCACGAGAATGTATTTTTGTACATTATTCAGAAATAAAGGATGATGAGAATGTTTGTTTAAAGAGATTTTTATGGCAGTGATAAACGTGTGCACCCCAGTAAAATAGCGTTTAAGGGGTGCATGTGTGAATGACGCAGAGCTTGAACATCAGTGGGAAAAGTGTCCTGATGGTGTCCTGAGTTTTCAGTCTGAAAAGGGAAATTGCACATGTGGAATCCTCACTGTTGTGTTTGTGGTTGATCAGGTTAGCAATGAGAGCACGTATCAGGAGGTAGTGCGTGCGGTGTGTGGGAAGGTCCTGGGTGTTATATGCGAGATCGCCATCGCTGTCTACACCTTCGGCACCTGCATAGCCTTCCTCATCATCATCGGAGATCAGCTGGACAAGCGTGAGTGTCTCGCATGTTTTACACTCCTTTTTCGAGTGAAAATCGGTGCTTCTTTGCTGGTGGGTCACAGGTGGGGGTGAGTGATATATAAAAAAAAAATAATAACATCACAAAACCTAAAGACTGCTTTCATGGCACACTTTGTAGTTTTTCTGTTGTTGGATAACTTGGAACAGACAAAAAAGCAACAGTAGTGCCACATTTTAGTAATAGAGCCAAAAAGTATGAACAAAAACTTTTAGTGCATAGTTGAGCAGTGTGCTAACCATGATATAGGCTGTAAAATTGCATAGTGATGTCATTTATGTGATAAAATGTATTTTGATAAGTATTGTCGATAAATATATCGACAATATAATATAAATAATAGACGCAATACAGGACAGCCAATCAGAACAGAGCTCTTTTTTTTTCTTTTTTTTTCATTTTCAGAACAAAACCTCGTACTCCGAAAAATGAAACTTTACAGGAGAAGGAAAAATGTTCTTAACTTTCAGTGTAAGATTTTATTCCTTTGGAACATTTCTGTTGATCCGTTCATCATGAAATTTTGATACAGTGTAAAGGACAGCAGTTTTTTTTTTTAATTATGTGAAAAAATAATAATATAATAAAAATGAAGATGGTTCAGACAGCAACAATATAAATGCATCAGTTTTGCATAGCAGTTGATTGTTTTTCCTCAGCTAGTAAATATGGTTTATCTTACATTGAGGACAGAAAACGTGGCCATAAATCCTAGAGCATTTTTTGTGACGAGGTATTAATAGCAGCTTAGTTAAATTGCTTCATAATAAAAGGTACTAAAGAAAGCCTAGTTGAGAACCACTGGACAAATCCCTGTGGACAGTGATTGGAGCAATGGCCCACGAGTCTGAGGGAGCAGTGAGCTCTCATTGGTTCACAGACCGCAGGTTCACCATCACGGTCACCTCCGTGCTCGTCATTCTGCCGCTATCCATCCCCAAAGAGATCGGCTTCCAGAAATACGCCAGGTACCGCTGCTCTACGTCTGACTTTCTTCAGTGTTTGACTGTAATTTGACTCTAATTTGACTATCAGCTGACTAAAAGTAGGCATTGAGTTGGAAAGGAGCCTTCACAAATACTTCTGGTGTACAAAAACTACTTTATGTACATATCGTCGCTGTCAGGACAAACTGTATGTATCCAACATTGGTAAGTTAATATGACAAGTAAAAACATTCACAAACACGATGTAATGAGCAGTTGGTGTTTTCAAATTATGTTAAAAAAATGACAAAAATAAGAGGCTGTATGTATGTAACTATCCTTTATACTTGCAGTGCTTTTTTGATTAAGAAAAAGATTATTTATCCTAAAATGAGAAATAAATGTTACAAAAAAAATGATAAAAATAAATGGCATAAAATGTCATAGAAAGCATTACATTTTAAAACAAGTAGACACTCTGTTACAGCGCTAATTTTCTGTTTGAAACAAATTACGAGTATAAACTGTCTATGTTCCTTGAAAACCATCGCTCCTTTGCATATAGAAAAGAAGCAATGGCAGATAGAACAAGCAATCCAATTCCAAGCAGAAAGTGAGTTCTCAGGATTAGATTTTATCTGTGTTTGACCTGGTCATAAAAAACACATTTACAAATTTGACTGGATTTTGATATTGTACATTTAGAATATGTTTAGGGTTTTTGTGTTCCAGGTGTGTGTGTGTGTGTGTGTGTGTGTGTGTGTATGTATATATATATATATATATATGTATGTGTATGTGTATGTGTATGTGTATGTGTGTGTGTGTGTGTGTGTGTGTGTAATATGTATGTATGTGTGTATATGTATAGTTTTTGAAGTGTTTTAATACTGTAGTGTCTTACAGTCTGTCAGAATGACCGTGTGGATCATATGGGCATTTATAGACCGCTTTTTAAAGGGCCCATAACTTATACCCCAGTCCACACAGTCCATGTACACAAACAAAGCTGCAGAAATGGCCTGTTTTGAATTCACTGTTGAATTCACTGATGTCATTAAAAAGAACTTATTGTCATATATCCGCTATTCAGCCTACAGCCTACGTTGTCACACGGACGTTATAAGGAGTGTTTCAGTCCAGACTGCTTGTTTAATGAGGCGCAATACAGGACAGCCAATCAGAGCAGAGCTCAGTCTTAAAGGCACAGTAACAAAATCAGCCTGTTTAATGTCAAAGAGGTAAAGAGATGTTGAAAAATGAGCATGTTGAAATAAATCCTGGCACATAAAATCACTCAAATGCCATAAGTGGACCCCAGGGGGAAAAAATAAGACAGGAATAGTGTAGGATATGTGCCCTTTAAATGGAATACAAGCAGCCATATCACCCCTACGTTTCGTACAGAGTATAACAATCTGTCAGAATGACCATATGAATATTATATAGCATTATAACGTTCATTGTTTTTATGTAACTAACACATTAACTTTTCAATAACCAAATATTATTAAATGATGCCTAGTTGGTGACTAATCGACTGTACTGACTAATTATTGCAGATCTGGATGTATTATTTATTTAGAAATGTGTCTGAGTTTGATTTAAAATGTTGTCTTCACTAAGATACAGTATTTAATGGATGTAAACAGTTATTTTTAGCCTGTTTATGCTACTGTCTGTGGCTTTGTTTTGAATATTTAATTTAATTTATTCGTCTTTAGCATGTTGAGTGTGATTGGCACCTGGTACGTGACAATCATCGTCATCATCAAATACATCTGGCCTGACAAAGAGGTTTCCCCTGGAAATATTCCAACCAGGTTTGTACTACATATCCCATAATTTCTACAGGCATGCAGTACATACAGTGCTGTGCAAAAGTCAGAGACCACGCTTTTGTTTATTTAATTTTCAATCAAAACAGCTATTAAGTCCAAGTTATTCATTTTTCAGGAGATGTTTGTGAGGAGATTAGATATGAGATAATCCACTTGCATAAGGTAGGAGAAAGTCAAAGCAAAATAAGTGAGAAACTGGATATTAAAAACTGGTTAAAAGCTGCAGAGAAATTGGGGCTCCTAACAACCACCTTTAAGACCTAGTAGACACCAAAACTGCCCCATCAGATAAACAGCACTTAAAGCTTTCATCTTTGAGAGAGAGGAGAAAATCAAGCTGCTTCAGATCTGAAAACATCCACAGGTGTTTCTGTCCATCCTTCCACTGTGAGAAGACAACTCAGCGCTATGGGTCTGAAAGGATGTGTAGCTGTCAAGAAGCCTCTCTGAGAAAAGAAGACAGACACATCAAACAAAGAAGCTGAACAATGGACTGACCACCCCACTCCAGACCTCAACATCACTGAATGTGTTTGATTACTTCAGAAAATGATCAACCAGCTTCTAAGACTGAACTTTGGAGGTGTGTCTGCAGATTTCTTTACGAAACTGAAAGTGAGTCTCCTGAAAAGAATGGAAGCTGGAATAAATGTAAAGAGTGACACAATGAACACTGAAACACCTGAGATTAGATTTAGATGTTGAGGCTTCTGTGTGATTTTCTGTTAAAAATGTGTTTTTTAATGTGTTTAAAAATTCATTTTTGACACAAAATGAATGACTTGTACTTAATGGCTGTTTTGACTGAAAATTAAATAAATGAAGGGTTTCTAACTTTTAAACAGTGCTGTTTGGTATTTTAGCAGTGATGATTATTTAAGTTCAGAGTTCAGTAGATCAGCTCAGCTATTTTATACAGATATAATATGCATTTTTGGTGTTTTCTTCAGTCCTGCATCCTGGACTGATGTTTTCAATGCCATGCCCACAATCTGCTTTGGCTTCCAGGTACGTGTTTATGAATCAGGTGCTTTGGAAATTAATTAACTTGATGAACCAGTGCTGTGATGCAAAAACTGCTTACAATTTGTTTATTGTGGTACGAGTCAGAATTATTTCTTAAACACTGACTGAATACCTAAATACCTCTCTCTCTCTCTCTCTCTCTCTCTCTCTCTCTCTCTCTCTCTCTCTCTCTCTCTCTCTCTCTCTCTCACTCTCTCTCTCTCTCACAGTGTCATGTCAGCAGCGTTCCAGTGTTTAACAGTATGAAGAAAGCGGAGATTCGGCCGTGGGGAGGTGTGGTCACGGTCAGCATGATCATCTGCCTCTTCGTCTACACAGGCACAGGTGTGTTTTGGTGTAAATGTGTAAAGAATCTCAGTTACAATTTTCTATGTTCTTAATTGCAATTAATTGTGATTAATTTGTCTTATTTGCCCAAATTTGACCATAAATAAAAAAGAAATCCCATTTAAAAAGTAGTATTTTATTATAGCTTTATTAGTGAACAAAATAAACATTGTCAGAATGTATTTAATACTTTCAGTAACAGAATAACATTAATTTGAACGCAGAACCTGAACAAGAAAATTTCCATGTAGTGAACAGTTTCTAACTTTTAATCACTGACATCCAGTCTGCACGTTCCAACCAATGACTCTATATATCACGTATCATATATGCAGTCAGTGAGTTGAGTGCATATATCATACTAAGTCAATGAGTGTATATATATATATATATATATATATATATATATATATATATATATATATATATATACACATATATTCAGTCACTGAACATATCATATACAGTCAGTGGTTCAGCTCCTGTGACTGTAGCCTCTCGCTCTCGTTCATTCAGCTTGTAGGTTCTTGTTACAGTGAAGGATCTCAAGGGATACTGGAGCTCCACCAAGCTGCTGCTTTTGTTAGTTTGCTTCTTGCTGATTTATCCGTAGTTCTCCTGCAAGTGTTTTCATTCCGCCGAAGGCTAACGTTAGTGATATTACTGATATTGCTGCACCTGTGCTGTGGTTGCTTGTAAATGATACTTCAAACTTAATGTTCTTCACCATGATAGTAGTTGGAAATAACTTTTATCAAGAGAGCTATTGATGCAGCTTACAATGCAGAGGACTAATTATGGCTTCTGTCATATATCTATTTGATAGATATACGATATAACATATCTGTCATTTATTGTGTTAACTTTGGCAGCACTAGTCTTTTTGCATAATGCATCTGTTGGCATATCCAAGAACTGGAAGACCTATAACTATATCAGTAAGCATATACCGCTGAAGCTGTGTCATTCTGTAGTCTAGCTAGTTTTCTCTATAGGAAGAACAAATGGGATTTTCAAAAATCACCAATATCGTGTCCTGTGGTGCCAAACCGCCGATGTTTTGTGCTCCGTACATTTTTTTAACTGAATGTAATTGGATCCTCTGAATTACAAAGTCATTAAGGAGTAAAAATGTGAATTTTGCTACATGTGAGCTAATGCTGCTATGCGCTGAACTGACATCATAAGACAGGCAAGATTGCAAAAATACCCCAAACAAACCAGCAGGCTTTGTCCCGTGTGGTAGCTAAGAGGCTTTGGTAGTAGTAGAGTACAATAGGAGAAGCTGGTGATAGTATTGAATGCTTGTTTTTATGTGGCGTCATTTCCGTGCACAGGAGCGTTAGTTTGATATTACCATGGATGTAGCAGTGTTCATACTTCAACTCCTTTTTAACAGAATCCGGGACACTCAATGGAAAAATGTTGAGGACAAAACATCTTGGGTTTGGAACCTTTTGGTTTATCACAGGGAACAATAGCAATGTGTAGCCGGCTACAGAAAGACAACGCTACTTTTGAGGACTATTCTCTGCGTATGCTATGACTGCGGTTCCAATTCTAGTCCTAGAACAAACATTTTTCTAAATATATACAATTTATTAAATGCTTGTTTCCCTTTTAAAATTGTATTTTTGCACTATATTTTGTTGTTCAATGTTATAAGTTTTATAACCTGCCTACCTTCTTTATTTATGTCAAGGCACTTTGGCCCACACACCCCTGTCCTAAAGGTTCACTGACCAGCATGCTAAATGTACAAAAGCTGGAAATGAACAGATTTGTGTTTAAGCAGTGAAATCCCCAGTCTGTGCTGGACTCTGACTGTACAGAGCCCAAACTGCGTGCCCAGCTCTGACCTTTTATTATTTGACTCTGTTTATCCTTGCAGGTGTGTGTGGTTTCCTGTCATTTGGTTCAAATGTCAGTCAGGACGTCCTGATGTCGTATCCATCGAACGACATTGCTGTGGCCATCGCCAGAGCTTTCATCATCATCTGCGTAGTCACTTCCTATCCCATACTGCACTTCTGTGGAAGGTAGGAGTCAAGAAGAGCTTTGCCATCCCATCTACATACAGTATGCAGTGGAACAAAATAGAGCCTCAGTGCTATACGACACAGAGCCAGTGCTCACTGGACCACAGTCTGCTCAACATCTACCACTCAAGGACTGCTCATTAGATTTCTGTGTGGAGTTTGCATGTTCTCCACTGTCTGTGTGGGTTTCCTCTGGGTGCTCAGGTTTCTTCCCGCAGTCCAAAGACATGCAGTCAGGCCAATTGAATATGCTAAATTGCCCCTAGGTGTGAGTGTGTGAGAATGTATATGTCTGTCTGTCTGCCCTGCGATGGACTGGTGACCTGTCCAGGGTGTTTCCTGCCTTCTGCCCATTGACCGCTGGGATAGACTCCAGCTCCCCCCATGACCCACAAGGATAAGCAGCTTAGTGTTTACTGTATTGAATCGAGACGTGTGCAGAACTGGGCTTAAAACTTGACAGTAAATTCAGTAGAGTAATAATACTGGACAGAAAAGGTGTGAGAGAATTTCTGTAAAGTTTCGCTTCTAGGCAAAACTGCATTCTTTTCGAGGAAAAAAGTGGCAGTGGTCGGAGTTTGTTCAGTGCTGTGTGCGCTGCACGTTAAACATAATCACTGTATTGTTTGATCTAAGACCTCCCCCTAACTGTGTTTGGTGCACAAGGGTATCACCTGCCTGAGTCTTTTCTTTGTATATGCAGCTGAAGGGGTGTGTGTGTGTGTGTGTGTGTGTGTGTGTGTGTGTGTGTGTGTGTGTGCGCTGCAGGGCGGTGGTGGAGGGTCTGTGGCTGCGGTTTAAAGGTGAGGAGGTGGACACAGATGTGGCTAGAGAACGCAGACGGCGGCTGCTACAGACACTCGTCTGGTTCTGTTTAACGCTCCTCCTCGCTCTCTTCATCCCCGACATTGGCCGAGTCATATCACTCATCGGGGGCCTCGCCGCCTGCTTCATCTTCGTCTTTCCAGGTGCGCCGGTCTGACTGTCGGTAGTAATGTGCATTACAGCAATAGTGCATTTGTCATTTCCCACCTTTCCCCAAATGTAGTCGATCAGCTAAGACATGTTTGGTGTCTGAAGTTTGCTTCTTTAGTTTTAGCTCTGGAGCTACGAGGCTAATGAAGCTTATTATTAGCATTGTGTTGTTTCTGACACTATGATATACATGGTCACCTATTTTAAAAAAAAAGCAGAAAATTTGGTCTTCAAGGTGGTTGCTGCTGCTGCGTTTAGCAAAATAACACAATTTTGTCCATGTTTATAGGTAACAGTAGGTTGATTTCACATACCAGCTGCTAAAGAGCACCAGATTATAAACGTAGGTGTTCTTTGTTTGGCTGTTAGAGCCAATTTAGACATGCAGTTTCAACAAAGCTAATTGTTCATAAGCTTCCATTACTTGTTAGCTACATTAGCCTCGTAGCTCCAGTGCTAAAACTATAGAAGCAAATTTCAGACACCAGACATGTCTTGGCTAATAGACTGTGTTTGTGGGAAGGAGGAGAAATAGTGGAAGATGGATTTTTGTCCAGTTGCAATAAAATTGCTACTAAACCTTATCTTAAATGGCTCATTTTTATGTACCATAAACCATAATTCATTTTTACATGGCCATTTCCCAGCTTCTCTTCATCCCTTAGAATGTTACCGTGCCTTTTACTGTCTTTGATATATAGAAATGAGCTCTATTCTGATTGGCTCTCCCATATTGTGCCTTATTCAAAAAGCAGTCCAGGCTCAAACACACTTTATTGCTTTTTGTGACATCACAAAAACAGTGAATTCAAAATTAGCCGTTTTTACACTATAGATTCCATTTATGGACCGTATAAATTGAGGAATGAATGGTAGGTTTTAAAACTAACATTGTTTATTTACTGCATTAAAGTCTACAAAAATGTGTGTTTTCCTGTGATATGGGCCATTTAATGTAATTATCACACTTTCAGTCATAGAATTCAGGCTAATCTTTGCATTCCATTTCTTAGGTTTGTGTTTAATTCGGGCCAAACTCTCAGAACATGATGTCCACACAGCCAGGTAAGTACTTGGTGTGCTTATCAACAATTAACTGATTATTAACGTGTGCGGATGTTCAGTGATTAAATTACTCTCTGAATTTCTCCTTAGCTGGAAGATGCTGGTGGCTTATGGGGTCATCATGGTTACAATCGGAGCTTTCATCTTTGGCCAGACCACCACAAACGCCATCTACCAAGACATCATCAACCACTCAGACAGCTAATGGATGGACAGTCGTGGTCACTGACATGTTGAAAAGCTCAAAGCACTCACAGACTCTCTGCGAGTTAAGGCACAGACTTGTAATCAGCAATTGTAAAAAGACACTCAGTATAAAAACAAGCTCCTACATTTATACCTCCTTAAAAAGGCCAGGATCTACTCAGCATGCAGCATGACCTCTCCTCCTGTAGCCCTAATGGGACACCACACTGCGCACTCTGTGGATGTGTGTTTGGGAGTTTTTTTTTTTTCTTCAATCAGAAACTGAAAAAAAAAACACTATTTTAAGTGTGCGGGTCTATTTGATTTAGCTTATTGTGTCTGTTTTTTGTTTTTTTAAAGAGAAATTCAATCAGTTTTTCAACATTTTTGCATTATTCAATGTGTGAGATGTAAACAGAGTCATTCAGAGTGGTTTGGTGTAAAATGTTTTAGATTTCTTTACAGTGGTGATAGGAACCAGGGGTCGCCATGACTACAACACAAACATTTTATTTACTATCCAAATTCACCAGTGAACCTACACATAGTTTCTGAGTTTTATACAGAATGTTGATAAAATAGTGGAAAATCTGGTAAAATGTATTTTGGGGGCTATTTTGCTTTGCACATTTTCTTGGGGAATATTTTGACTCACAATGCCCTCCATTTTACATGATAACTTTCTGTGAGGGAGCTTTTAGAGGTGGACGTCTGGTTCCTATCACCAGCACTGTGAACAATTCTGACTCTAGAACGGAGCATTTTGCACCAGACCACTCTGAATGACTGTTTACATCTTAACCATTTAATTATGCAGAAATTTTGAAAGATTAGTGGACTTCCCCTTTTAGTTGTCGGAGGTTTGCATTTTATAATTTTTTTTTTTATTATTTTTGTGACATTTTAGCATTAAAAAGGTAAAGGTGAGTACTTTTATTTTGCTTAAATTTACTTGAATTTGTTTCAGAAGTCTTGAATATGAATGAACAAAACTGAAAAACGGGATTCTACCCGTCAGGCTGGAACACAGCTTGAAATGGTTCTAATAAAATGAGCTGCTTGGGTTCAATTAGCTTTATTTTTGGTTTTATTTTCATTGTAAAATTGAGATTTGCTGCTTTGAGAAAGTGGAAGGATAAGTGCTGTTTCAATCTAATCTTTTTTTAGACATTCCCTGAACCTGAAATCTTGTCAGTCACTTTATTTCTGTAGTGATTAACTTTTCCAGTCTTTGTTTTGCAGTGTTGAATAATATTCAGGCAAATTTCTTTTGCCCTCCCTCAGTAATCATTGTAATCAGTGTCGCACAGAATACACGTCGGAGGTTTACAGTTGTTTTTTGTAATTATGACTAAGTGAATTTTATTTGAAATCAATAAAGGGAATTGATGCAGTCCAACATCTTTTGTCTGATGTTTAAGTGGAGTTAAAGGGCCCATATCACAGAAACACACATTTTTTCTTGAATTATAAGTTTTATGTAGTGTATATAAACATTGTTAAAGTTTCAAAATGCACTGTCCAATTCATACAGTCCGTATATGGAAACTAACCCGAAACAAGAGCCCATTTAGCATTCATTATATTTGTGATGTCACAAAAATTAACCCATTTACATATATTTGCCTACCGCAGGTTTGCTTCGTCAATTAAGAAATGTTTGTTTTACGTCCCTTATAAGCTGTTAATTAACAGCCCTTATGAGAATAATGAGGAATCCTTTGAGACGTATTGGTACGGTGATGTAAAATTATTATTTTTTTAATTATACATATTATAAAATCTATTTTTTATGAGTTACATTTCACATCAAGGTATGAACATAAGGCTTAAGTACAGAATCAGCTTACATTTATGAAATACATTTTAGTAGTAATTCTACCAGTTTGTCATCACTTGTCAAATGAATGATTTTTGTTTTATATACAGTAGTGTTAAAAAAATAGCACTGATTTAAAAAAGTGGATAAAGTGCAAAATCATTATAGTAACTTTTATTTCTATGTGCAAATGCACTGGAAATACTGCATAATTCCAAATCAAACATTAACAGAATGTATCCAGTTTGTGTTAATCCTTTACAGAAAGTAAAGAAAAAGGAATATTAGGCATTAGGAATATTAGCATTTTTCTTTAAAAATTCCAAATTTAATGTATAAACTGAAAAAAGTGTTGAAAAGTGAAATGAGATTTCACTTTACTTTGAATTACTGAACTAATATTTAGTGGCATAACCATTGTTTCTGAGAACTGCTTGACATCTGTGTAGCATGGAGTCGACCAACTTCTTGCACCTCTGAACAGGTATTACAGTCCAGGACGATTCGGCTACATTCTACAGCTCTTCTGCATTTTTGGGTTTTGCCTCAAAAACCGCATTTTTGAAGTCACCCCACAAGTTCTGTATGTGATTGAGGTCCACTCCATTACCTCAATCCTGTTTGTCTCTAACCAAGATGTTGTTCACTTACTGGTATGTTTTTGGTCATTGTCATGTTGAAACACCCATTTCAAGGGTATTTCTTCTTCAGCATAGGGCAATATGATCTCTTTAAGGGTTTATATATATTTAAACTGATCCATGATCCCTTGTATGTGATAAATTTGCACCACCATGCTTTACTGTCTTCACAGTGTACTGTGGCTTGAATTGCTCAGGGGTCGTCTGACATACTGTCTGCGGCCACTAGACCCAAAAAGAACAATTTTGCTTTCATCAGTCCACAAAATCTTGCACCATTTCTCTTTGGGTGAGTTTGTGTTCCTTGGCAAATTTGAACCTATTCAGGACTTTTTTTCAACAACGGGACTTTGCAGGGAGTTCTTGCTGGTAACTTGGCTTCACTTAATTGTCTTCTGACTGTAGCAGTTCTCACTGGTAACTTTAGATCTTCTTTCTTCTTTCTGGAGGTGATCATTGGCTGAGCCTTTGCCATTTTGGCTATTCTTCAACCCATTCGAACAGTAGTTCACTGCTTTAATCTGCATCTTTCAGGTTTTAGTTGCCACTTCAAGGCATTTGAGATCATTTTAGCTGAGCAGCCTATAATCTGCTGCACTTCTCTATATGTTTTTCCCTCTCAAATCAACTTTTTAACCAAAGTATGTTCTTCATCAGAACAATGTCTGGAATGACCCATTTTCCCCAGTATTTCAGAAGGAAATGCAAAATAACCAACATGTGCGACATTTGCCACCCTCCTACCTTAAATAAGAGCTAAAATTGACACCTGTTTTTCCACAGAATGAATGACTTCACCAATTGAACCCTCACTGCTATTATTTTGAAAAGACCCCTTTCAATGAATGATTCCATTACTCAAAATGAACAGCATGCATGTCCTAATTGTTGGGTCTGTTTTTTTTCTATTACTCTACTACACTTACAAGTAAATTATTTGCTTTGAAAAAATATCACTTTACCAAAAACAATGATTTATCAGGTTAATGATGTTGGACTATTATTTTTTTTAACACTATTGTACAGCCGTATGCAAGTTGGCACACCCCTAGTCAAATTGATTTTCTAAGTGTAAATAATTGAACATGTCCTCTACAGAGACACACTTCTGCACTTTTTTATATACATGATTTCTGGTTATTTAATGAATTTAACATATTGGTGAATGAAAATTAAACAAAATGGCACATTTTGTATTTTTTCCAATATGTTAAATAAATAATAAACAGTAATTGTGCATTAAAAGATGTAGAAGCGTGTTCTCTGTAGAGGGTGTGTTCACTTATTTACACTTAGAAAATCAACAACAACATGGAATCTGACCAGGGATGCCCGAACTTTTGCACACAGTAATTTTAACTTAAACAATGTGGATTTAAATGTTAAAAACTATTCGTCGAAATGTGTTTGTTTTTTTTTTGGATTTCAAGAATTCTGTGAACAAGGAAGTTATTCAGGGACAAATAATATACTTTCCTATTCGCATTACTTTTTTGTCAAGTTATGTGTTTTGAGATTTGAAATATGATGAATTCTGGATATTAATGTTATTAGAACTTCATTCTCGATATTCTGCAGCTCTGTTCATTGTTCTGGACACATCTAACGTTTCTACATTACTATCTACTGATTGTCTGAAAGCTGTTTAGTTGTTCAGGATGAGCAGATTAGAATACTTTATTATGTTTATCTGGTTTTATGGTGTTGGAAACATTGATTCTAAATGCTTGAGCTACAGAATATGCAAAATAAAGGAAAGCAGACAGGAAATAAAAATTAACTATTTTTGCACAGCTCTAGTGGAATTTATCATTACGAATGCTTTGATTTGGTTTTAAATTTGGTTTATATTTGTCTAAAAGTAGTAACAATAATAAATTCTACATTTCAGTGTTGTACTTTTATATAAGATTAGTTAATAAATAGGCAGTCAATTAACTAGAAATTATCACACCAGAATGTTCAGAATCGATCCTGAGAATGAGCCCACTGCGGTTTCTAACAGTGCTGGTATTAAATGATGACTCGGGCCGGCCTGCAGGGGGCGGCAGCGCACACTCACGACGAGCCCCAACACACACAGAAGAAGCAGCGGGAAGATGGCGGCGCGCATGGTGCTGAGAGCGGCACTGCAACAAACACGTAAGTATGAACTAAATAAACTCTGTAAAAGCTTAAAAACTCTTTATTTAACACTAAAAGTCTAATTTAGCTAGTTCTGGGTGCTTCTTTTGTATATATGGCTCTATAGTGTAGAGCAGCTCAGTGTCATTGAACATGGCTGCATGATGACAGTGCTGCTGCTGCTTGTGGCTTCAGTTATTTTTTGTTTGTTTGTTTGTGATAGTTTTGCCCCTTTTGCTGTTTATAACTCTCATTCTGCAGCACCATTATACTGTATTGTGTTATTTCACTAGAAGCCTTTAGAAGGTCTGAACTACAGAATGATATAAACAAATAAATAAATATACAACAAAATAATTTTTTGCGAAAATATTTTAGAATTATATGTGACTATTTATTACTGGAGAATATATAATATCTGTATATATACTGGATAATTTAACACGGACCATCCTTGGTCTCCTTATGGGTTTTACATATATTAGATGGTTCTTCAAGGGTTCTTTAGCAAAGGCAATGGTTCTGTTTAGAACAATCAGTTTTATATAGAAACATTTCATGCTTAAATGGTTCTTTGCAATTGCGAAATGGTTCTTCAGATTGATGCTATCGTAATGTTGTCAAGCTTGTAACAGTAGTAGAACCCTTTCTGGTGCTACATAGAACCGTTTTCAAAAAGGATCTATAAAGAATCATATGCAATACATTTGTCATTGATCTGTAGAACCATTTGACCATGCAAAAAAACGTTAAAGAATGCAAATGGTTTTAAATAGAATGATTCAAATAGAACCATTGTCTTTACCAAAGAACCCCTGGCGAACCTCTTTTTTAAGTGTGTAAGACTGCATTGTTTTCATTTAATTCAATTAGTTTTAATATTTCAGTTCCTAATTCAGTAATATCTTGGTACTTTTACTGTTTTGCACTGTTTATCTGTATTAGAGTTTATGAAATCTTTGTTTCTGGTACATTTTTTTCTGTGCATTTCTCTGCATAGATGCGGCTTAGAGTAAAATTCAACATCTTTCAGTAGTTGTTATGCCTTGGTGAATAAAGTGTTAAAGATCATTATCTTTAGTTATCTGCCAGCAGTTGTGCTTATTTACCAGTGACTGTGTGCACTGCAGTCTTACTCTATTAACTGTGATCATTATCCTGATGGTTAAAGTGAACAAGGCCTGGTGCTGTGGAGAACTTGAGGATGATTTAATGTCTGTTGTTGTTTCTCACAGGATGTACGGTTCCTTTCTTCGCACAGTGTCAGAGGTCTAAAAGGTAAAAATCAATCTGAAGCCATTCAGAAATCCACATTATGGTTCATATTTACACACAGCAATCTTATCTTTGATAAGAGATCATACTGATCTGAGTATCATCAGCATATAACATCTGGCAAAAAGTCATAAGGATAAAATTCCACTGATTTTTCTGAATTTCTAAATCTGCATATTTAACATGCAAACGGAGTCATTCGGAGTGGTTTGGTGTGAAATGCTCAGTTCTAGAGAAACTTGCCGAGTGAGAATTGTTGAAGTGTTGTTAGGCAAAGTAGTTGTTTCCACTATTGTCCCATCATCAGCATTTCCATATAAAACTCAGAAGACATGTGTAGGTTCACTGGTGGTTTTGGATAGTAAATAAAATGTCTATATTTGTGTTGTAGTCATGGCGACCCCAGCTTCCTATCACCACCACTGTAAAGACATCGAACCAGTTCACACCAAACCACTCTGAATGACTTCGTTTACATCTCAAGCACTCAACTATGCAGAAATGAAAGAAACTGTGGAATTCCCCTTTAACCTCTACAGTCTGTTGTTGGATCAGTGCTACACAATTTATTTCATGCTATAAATTTATTTATTACATTGTATTTTTGTGGTTGTATTGTGACAACAGTAAATGCAATATCTTTTTCCTTAATTTTGTTTCTCAGTTATATTCCAGAGACATCGTTGTCCAGACCACCATGGCCTGAACTTCCATTAGTCAACAAAGAGGAAGAGCAAAAGCGACATCAAGGCAAGATGGCACATTTATTGGTCCCGTCATTGACAAATATTCTGATAACTGAGGACGTATTTATTTGAGCAGATCAGGCATGTAGAAGTTAATGCGGTATTATGGAAATTATTACATAAAATGTGCAAACTTTAGGCTTTATTTGCAGTTTTCATGGCTGTATAGTTGCAAGCAAAAGTTTAGGCGCCCCAGTCAAAATGTTTTGTTGATTTTCTAAATGAAAAAAGAAGAACATTTTATCTAACGAAGTGGTCAGAAATAGCTGTGCAAATATCTGACTTCACACAGTCATGTGCAAAAGTGAAAATACCTGTTTCTCATGACTGACTAAAACATGCTGTGCTCTTATTGTGCATAAAAGTCTGTGTTTCTCAAACACATTAAATAGATTAAGTCAAAGGCATCCAGAAATGCAAAAGCAAATCATACAGGTCTGCGCCGTTTATGCTCATCCTTCCTTCCTTCCTGATCTTCTCCCTCATGCAGGGAGGCCTGCTGAGAGCAGAGCAGGTCCTGTGTTATGTTATTAGAGTCATTAGACTGGACTGCTTGTTCTGTGCTTCTTTTATTCCAGACTGAAATACATCAGTGCTGATGGTCTTGTGACTTGTGTTTAGATAAATTGGTGACAGTTTTGAAAAGGTCAAGTAAATTTCCACAGATTCTGCTCTAACGTGGCCTTTCTAGTCTGTAATTACAATAATAAGTGGCCGTCAGTGTTTCAGTCTTTTGTCAATTTCAGAGTTTTGTCAATTTTGAGTTTCTTTACAGCCATGATGGGCTTATTTCTGATTTCTATCCCAGAAAATTGGGTTCATTATTGTTTTTTGACTACAACTCTATCAGTATATGTATTTTCTACATGTCTGTGGCTGGTAACTAAACATTTAGTAAAATATAAAAATTTGGACTAATTCTATGAGGTTTAGCATTATGCAGAAATATAACATTTATTGTTGTATAGTTACAAATGCAGTAAAATGACTAAAATGCAGATATTTTAGTGTAGTAACCCAGCAACACCTAAACATTCAGCTCTTCTGGAGTTCAGTAAACATAACAGTAAATATATGTTTCAAATATTAGCCAGATCTAAAGATCTGTCCAATGCCGATAGATATTTTTAAAAATATTCTATTTTGATATTGATATGATTCCAGTATCAGCAGACATCCTGATTATTATAATATCTGGTACAGCTTTTGCTTATTCTTGTTTGGCCATACTGAAGTTCTCAAGCAATTGCCTTTTTTTTTGTTTTTGATTTTTACCCAGTTTTCTCCCCAATTTAGTCATCTCCAATTCCACCTGCTAGTCAATTCCCAGTCACACAATACTACCAACGCTAGGGGGGCGAAGGCTAACACAGGCTTCCTCTGAGACCTGTGAAGCCAACAGCCGCATATTTTCGAACTGCCACTCACGCGACATCATTGGACAGCTAAACGCGCTCGGAGGAAAGCGCCGACCACCAGATCTGTTACATCAGCTAACAGACGCCTGTGCTGACTAGCATCACCCAGAGAGCGAGGCCAATTGTGCTCTCTTGGACTCCCGGCCACGTATGGCTGCACCATCACCAGGGATCGAACTGGTGATCTCCTGATGAGAGGACCAATGCTTAGACGGTTGCGCCACTCGGGAGCCCCTCAAGCAATTTTCAAATATAAAAATGAATAAATAGTCTGTATTACACTACTGTGTACAGTCGTATGCAAACGTTTGTGCACCCTCCGATCAAATTATGATTTGTTTTGCCGATTTGTGAAAAGTGAAAATAAATTAACGCATTGTCTACAGAGAACACACTTCTGCAGTTTTGCACAGGCCTTATTTAATGTTTTAAACACCCCCCCCCACAAGTCAAATTAGCAGTGATTTTGTATTAAAATGTACTGAAGGGTGTTCTCTGTGCATTAAACTTTGCAAGGGTTCTATATAGAAACATGAACACTCAAAGAACCCTTTGCAGGATTAAAGGCTTCTTTGCATGGTGAAATGGTTCTTCCAATTGATGGAGAATGTGCTCTAGATGGTTCTGTGTAGCACCTTTTTGAAAAAGGTTCTGTATAGCAGCCAAAGGGGTTCTTCTATTGTTACAATGTCAAGCATGTTGAAGGTTCCACATAAACCATGTACAACACATTCTTCATCAGTCTTCAGAAATCTTCAGAAATGCTGTGTAAGAAGACAGATTTTCAATATAATAATTCCTCTTTTGTCCTGTATGTCCTGCAGCGGTGGTACAAAAGGTCAACACCCTCATTGAGAACAGAGAATATGGGCGGCTGTTTGCGGTCGTCCACTTCGCCAGCCGTCAGTGGAAAGTGACCAACGAAGATCTGATCCTGATTGAAAACCACATCGAGGCCGAGTGTGGAGACAGAATAGTCCTGGAGAAGGTCTGTTCTTACACACTCCAGCTAATATTACACTTATACTGCAGCCTTTGTCTTCATTCTGCTGTTGCTGACAGTGCGCTGTTGTGCAGGTACTGCTGGTTGGAGGAGAAGATTTCACGCTCATCGGGAAGCCTCTTCTCAGGTAGCGTATACACTCACTGTAATGTTTATTAGGGTAAAATTCATCTGAAACTTGTTTGTGCCTGGCTAATATTTTTTAGTTGAACAGTGCTTTACAGACTGACATGAATGTCAGTTCCAATAGGGCTCATACCATGGAAAAACATATTCCCCTCTCTCAGAGCTCACAGTGGCACAACTCTCTAGGTCAGGGGTCAGCAACATGCAGCTCTTTTACTGCCCTGTTGCAGCTCCACAGCAGAATTAGATTTTTAGGTAAAAATAAAATAATCCTCCTTTGCAGTAAAATAAAGCTCTGCTGATCATTCTAACACATTTTTAACAATAAATGGTCTGAAACGCTTGTGTTAATGTATAACTGCTAATTCACCCTTTAACCCTGAGGACTGCCGCACAGACTGTTGGTCACCATAGCAACGCAGACAACAGTCTTGCCTAGCTGGTAGCTAACGAACAGACAAAGAGAAAGATTTAAGTTGAACATCGATAATTTGGAGACGAATGGACTTATTTGCATTTATAATCACTCCAGCTGGTTTCTGAGGCAGAAACTGACAAAATATTTAAAAGTCACGAAGCTGCAGTCAGTTTCTTGTTCGAATTTCTCAGTTCCACCTTAACTGGTGCAGCAGTTACATTCTGGCGGCTGAGGTGGAACGGGAAAATTCGAACAAGATACGAGAAAAGCGGCTATAGCTGAGCTAGAGCTTAATGCAGAGCAAAGTAATTCTGCAATTTCGATTTAGACATAAAATGTTGTGGTTTGATTTTTGTTGAAAGGACAAAATGGCTCTTCTTAACATTTGGGTTGTGACCAGTGTTCTAGGGTTTTGCTCAATCTCTCCATCAAGAGAATCCCGGCCAAGCAGCAACCCAAAAAAGTTGCTAATTATCAGCAACATATCAGCAAAACAATAGGTTGTCAATAGCAACCAATATTATTGGTCAACTGCTATTGGTTGGATCATATTGGGAATATAGTGTATGTATTTATCCTGTTCAGTGGGGATGTATATGGGGATTACAGTTATGATTCTTTAGGATTCAGTACATCACATTTTCTCATATTTCACTGTGGTACTATTTTTAAAAATACACCAAAACAACAACAACATAAATATTACCCAAAATTTGAATATTCGCTTATAGGTTTTGACCAAATCTTGCTTAAATTAAACAAGCAATTGAACGTGAGAGGGGGGGTGTTCATTGTCAGTTCCTTCCAAAAAAAAGTGCCACTCCTGTGCATTACAGATAGGGTGGTGCATTTGGTTTTATATGAACATTCTTTGGATATTGGACTTTCACTCTTAGATTTCTCATAAACATCCAAGAATGACCAAGCCCACATTTTTTCAGTCCTGAAAGACAGAATAAACCACAACATAATATATTTTTAAAATGTCTGCCATTAAATTTCACTGAATGTAATGTTTTGAAAACGCAGCAACACAACTAGTCATAAACAGTGCAAAACACATTCTACCTGTATATAGTCCAAAAAAGGGCATAAAGCACTTTATTTTTTGAGTGGTCACTTGTAAATGATTAATAAACACTAGATTGTCAGTAACCCAACCCTAACCCAAAACCTAACCCTAACCCTGGCCCTAATCCTAACCCTATCCTTAACCTCAACCCAAAACCTAACCCTAACCCTCACCTTGGCCCTAATCCTAACCCTAACCTTAACTTCAACCCAGAACCTAATCCTAACCCTCATATGTTTTTGACATGTTGACATGAGTCTGTTGAGTGTTTGTTTCATCTAAAAGTGACCACTCAAAATAAGGTGTTACCAAAAGGCAAAATCACATTGAATCACCTGCAGTACAGAGAGTGGCTTCCTTCAAGATGACTACAAATCTCAGTTGAAGGAAGCCGCTCTCCTTACTCCGAGTGACGTGATGTGATTTTGCCTTCTTTTAGCCAAACACATGAGAAGTGAGGCTTAAAAAGGTGTCCATGTAAAGCACTGTTTAGACGCTTTCTAAACAACTAAAGCTGTGGTGATTTGTGTTAGCGAAACATTATATTTAGCAAAATTTAATGATGTGAAATTTTGAAATATATTAATTTGTAGTTTGTTCTGTCTTTCAGAAATGAGTGGGCTTTTATTTCATTAGCAAATTTGAGGAGTATATCCAATGAAAGTCATTTTCTGTGTGTTTGTATGGGGTAAAGTAGAAACGTACTACCAGCAATTGTTACGTAGTAGATTGTGTTCATGAGAATGATAGTTGTTGTAAAAAGACTTTGCCGTTATCACAAATGATAAGAAGTATCAATGTAATGAATATTATTACAATCAGTTGCAGCATTTCAAAGTCAGCACCTCCAAATCAGCACATACTGATTCATCATTGTTTTTTTACAGGCCTCATGTTCAGCTAAACAGGGCAGAAGAGTCTTGCTGTGTGTCAGTGAGCTGCACAGGGAGCCTCTGTTCTCTCAGCTTTGACACTGACTGTCTGTCTCTTTCTGTCTGTTTTCACACCCAGCCGTGATCTGGTCAGAGTCGAGGCTACGGTCATAGAGAAGACAGAGTCCTGGCCGATGGTCCACATGAGGTTCTGGAAGAGGCACAGGTTTCAGAAGAAGAGAAGTAAGTAGCTCAAGATTCAGGTGTTCATTTGTCGTGTAATTCTGCCTGCGGGCATGAAATGGATATAAAACCCCACTAAAGAACATTCCTGAACACGTTTGCCTTCATCACCGAACCTCATCATGTGTCTCAGTCTCAGCTCTATGCATATTTTATGACTCTACCTATAATATAAAGTAGAGCTGTAGCTTAAAATGCAAGTCTAACACGTTTTATGAAACAGGGCTGCTTGATATGGAAACAAGCATAGTGTGATTATGATGCAGACTGTGATTGTGATGAGCCTCGCAATGTATTAAAAACACTTGATATTCATTGTAATGATGTAAGAATACAGCATGAAAAATTATGAAAAATTGAATTTAACATGGCAAATAGAAACCACTTTCAATGATCAAAACTAGGCATCTGGGTGCATCCAATCAGAGTAAAGTAGGCAGAGAGAGGGTGGGATTTATGCTATTGACAAACCCACCCTCAAATAACTAAGTTTTTTTTCTAGAAGTGTTTAACATTTAAAACATGCAAAGAACCATTTACGCATTCAAACGGTTCTTTGAGTATTCATGGGTTTGTATAGAGCCATTGCATTTACTAAAAAATCCTCAAGAACCATTTTTAAGAATGTAGGCATTGTGATTTTTGGGGTTTATTTTGAGAAAGGACAGGTGTTGAAAGTTCTTTTGAAGAGCTTTTATTTATCTGAGCCAATTCATCGAGTCTGCACGTAATTACATCATTAGAGTAGAGAATTAGAGGTCTGTAGATTTACAAACACAGAAAAATCCAGTCTAATTTTGACCTCTGAATCAAAATTGTATCAAACCTGAAAAAAAATGTGTATTATGTTGCCCAAAATGCCTTGACTAACATGATTAAAAACATGTTGAAAGATCATTTTGACAAAAAATTCAGATTAGTTTGATGATGTGTATGATTTGGCGCCAAAAGGTTTCATATTGCAGCAGCTACAAATCTAATATTTCAAAAGCCGTCAGTGCACATAATAAAGTAACAGCCTCAGATTTTGGTGCTGATTTATTCTACATGTTTACAAGCACTTCTGTAAGCTGATAATGAGAAAACTCTGGGTCAATATGAATCAGTCATTAGATTTTTTTGTAAGTACATGACGTGCAGCTCTTTTGTTGCTTGGCATGTTGCCACTAAACTCTCCAAGGATGCAGAATTCAATGCAAAACTGAAACTTCTTGCTTTAGAGTCCTTTTGCCAATAAATATTATTGTAAATATTATTTATTTGGGAGTTTATATAGCTGCAATTGTACAAACTGAGGTCATTTGTTGTTTCTTGGTTAAAATAAATACAGTTTGGAGAAGATATTTAATTGTTATTATTCTGACCAATACTGTGACTGCAGTTTACATTGAAATTATTAGCTGTAAATTAAGCTCCAGGCCTGTTATTTTCACCAAGATGACCAGAATATCCACTTTTTCTTGTTTGGGGCTTGAATGCTGAATGTAGTGTGCCAGACTAGAGGTCAGCACGCGCATGGAATTAAAGCCCGAACCTGACCTGTACCTGTGAGTTTAAGATCTGACCCGACCTGACCAGTACTGCCAAATTTAAAACTTGTCTATTACGTAAAAAAAGACTCATTAGTGAACAAATCCAAGCCTGAAAAATCAGCCCGAAACCCAGTATTTGTCAGGTGAGGACGCAGACCTTTGTACCGGACTGCCAGTTAGTCGTGGTTATGATGTCGCAGCCCATGGGTGTTTGGTTGATTCTAAATGGTCTGGCTCATCTTCAGGTCGTTCACTGTGCTATGAGGTTAAATTTCCCCACTCAAAACTTGATATGATGTTAAACAATGTAGACCACAGTTAAAATTACAGCTATTGTGATTTGAAAATCGTGCTCAAATTGTGATAGCAATAATCTTTCAGCTGTAGTGTTTACCGCTTTGCAGGCAGCTCAGCAGATGTAGAAAAGCGAAAGAAATCAGATTAGCGGTTTATACATGCTAAAAACTCAGTTACTGAGCCAAAATCCAAGTCTGTAATCATGTAACGACTTTAATCCGATCTAAGAGATCAGAACATGTTGTTTACATTGCATTTCATAATAATAGTAATAATCAGACAGCTGCCAAACCTGACAGTGATTGTATTACTGGTGTGCATGTAAACTAACTCAGTCATTAACATATATTATACTGCACAGCCCTAGAAATAAGCAGAAGAAGGTGATCTTTAGATTCTGTTTAGAACCGGAATGCAGTATACAGCTGTAAATAGCTGTAGGTGCTTCATGTGTTATAAAAGGCACATTAAGCCAAAAAAGTTTTAATCCTGCATACAGCAGTGTGCGCTGCTCCACAGTTTCCACTGGGGAGGTTCTGTTTTACTCTCAATGAATGGCCTAAATTCCTGAGCATGCACAAATGCCAATTACAGGCTAAATATAGTTTTCATGATTTGTTTGAAGTAAACAGGAACATTAACTTTGCTCAGCATATTCTCAGCAGAAGGAGCAGAGTTTCAGCATGGAAGTGAGATGTATTTGCCTGTTCTGTTAAACAAACTTGCTTGTCAAGTGCAAAGTGACGTGAAGCCTCTGACCTGCGTTTTCTGCATGTTTGAAATGCCAGTGTGTTTCCATCCATTTTTCACATCCATACATGCATACACATTTATTTTTGCTGTCCTGTTTTGGAAATTATTGCAACAATAAGATTTTGTTTGTGTGTTTTTCGCAGCTATCATACAGCCACAGACGGTGCTTCGGATCAACAGCATCGAGGTGTCTCCAAGATTAACCTGACCTCCTCATTTTTGTAAATAACTGTATCTGTGTCTCTCATTTAGGGTAAATGTTAGTGTAATTAAAATTTGACACCCGTCTCTGCATTTAATGAACTCTTGCTGTGTTATTTCTATGAGGGAATTAGCTGCAGCTGGCATTTATTCATTTTGCATTTACAGAATGTTTTAAGCAGTGAAAAGTGATCATTTGCAAGGAGCCCAACTTGCAGCTTTTTTACCTAAATAAATACAACTGTACACGAAAAGGTTCTTTAGTAAAGAAAGTGGTTCTATATAGAACCAAGAACACTCAACAAACACTTTGCATGATTAAAGGATTCATTTCATTGTGAAATGTTCTTCAGATTGATGTAGAATGTGTTCTGTATGGTTCTATATAGCACCAAAAAGGGTTCTTCTGTTGTTAGAAGCTTGTAACAAGATTTCTTTTTTTGGTGCTCTGTAGATCCCTTTTCAAAAACTTTCTGTATAGAACCATATACAACACATTGTCCATCAATCTGAAGAACGCTTTCATGATGCAAAAGGTTCTATCTAGAACCATTTACAACACATTGTCCATCAATCTGGAGAACATTTTGCATCATGAAAGAGCAGATTGATGGAGAATGTGTTGTGTATGGTTCTATATATAAAATATAGACTCTATTGTTACACGTTGTGAGTGTTCATGGTTCTATATAGAACCATTTTCTTTACCAAAGAATCCTTGACCATCTTTTTTAAGAGTGTAGAGCTTAAAGACAAATAATTTAATAAGCAGAAATGCATAAACCGCAAATGTGAAGTGCCAAGATTTGCAAATAAAATGGAAATGAGTGTAGAATATAATTAGTATCCTAGATACCAACACAATGTACCACTGTGAAGATAGACACGCAGACAGATAAATAAATAGATATACAGTGGTTCATGGCAGCACATCACAGGAAAAGCCACACGTTATATTAAAAGAACAAAAAGACACAAAGCTTCAGCGCTTTATTCTCCAGTTATAAAGTACAGTGAATGTTGATGTAAGGATAAATATACAGCTCTGTTCCGAAGTCATCCATCCATGAACACTGGGCCTCATTCACCAGCCGTTTTTAAGAAGTAGTTACACTTAGGCAGTTTTCACAAAGATTCTGATGTTCACCAATGTTTTATTTAGGATTTTCTTAGGTAAGAACAGAATCTACACACACTCAAAAGAACAAAGGTAAGAACAGTTCTGCGCTTTAAGAACGTCATGAATCTGACATAGACTTTTTCTGAGGACCTTTCTCAAGAACACATTTAAGAACAAACTTAATAGTGTTATTAGATACTTTTTTACTATATTCTTGTTGCTAGTACTATGTGCTATACATTAGTGTAAGTACAAATAAATATAAAAACAGTAAAAAAAAAAAAATAAGAATGTAATCTATTCAGTAAAGTTATGAATATAAGTTATGAACTCAGGTTTGATTTTGTGGAATTACTCCGTTCCATCAGTGGCACCTGATTTAATTTGGGGCAGGATCGATTAGATAAACCCAGTATTGTGCAAAAGTCCAGAGCACACTTTCTGTTTGTTTAATTTACGGTTAAAACAGCTGTTAAGTACAAGCTATCCATGTTTCAGAAAAATTTTTAAGAAGATTAGATGTAAGTTAACCCACTTGCACAAGGAGGCCGAAACTCAGAAGGTGAAAAAAAGCAGGGCTTTCCAAAACTGGAGTTTAAAACTGATTAAAAGCTACAGAGAAAATGGGGCTCGTAACAACCACCTGGAAGACCTGGTAGACACCAAAACTGTCTACATCAGATAAACAGCACTTAAAGCGTTCATCTTTGAGAGAGAGGAGAAAATCAAGCTGCTTCAGATCTGAAAACATCCACAGGTGTTTCTGTCCATCCTTCCACTGTGAGAAGACGACTCAGCGCTATGGGTCTGAAAGGATGTGTAGCATCAAACACAGAAGCTGAACAATGGACTGACCACCCCGGAGTCCAGACCTCAACACCACTGAATGTGTTGGATTATTTCAGAAAATGATCAACCAACTTCTAAGACTGAACTTTGGAGGTGTGTCTGCAGATTTCTTTAAGCAACAATATGTGCGCTCTTAAAAATGATGGTTCTTCAAGGATTCTTTAGTAAAGAAAATGGTTCTGTATAGAACCATGAACACTCAAAGAATGCTTTGTGTGATTGAAGGGTTTTTTGCATCTTGAAAGGGTTCTTCACATTGATGGAGTTGTGTTATATATGGTTCCATATAGAACTATAGGTTCTATATAGCACCAAAATGGGGTTCTTCTAATGTTACAATGTCAAGCTTGTGGTAATAGGTTCTATATGTTTTTTAAAAAGGTTCTATATAGAATCCTTTCATGATGTGAAGTTCTCCAGATGGAGAATGTGTTGTATATGGTTCTATATAAAACCTTTTGCATCGTGAAAAGGTTCTTCAGAATGATGTAGAATGTGTTGTATATGGTTCTATATAGAACCTTTTTGAAAAAGGTAAAGAAAATAGTTCTACATAGAACTATGAACACTCAAAGAACCCTTTGCATGATTAGGGGGTTTACATCACCCAAAAGGGTTCTTCTGTTGTTACAGTGTAAAGCTTGTAACAATAGAAGAACCCTTTTCAAAAAGGTTCTGTATAGAACCATTCTCCTTCACTCTGAAGAACCCTTTCATGATACAAAGAACCCTTTAATCATGCAGAGGGTTCTTTGAGTGTTTATGGTTTAATGTAGAACCATTTTCTCTACTAAAGAACCCTTGAAGAATATGGGAGGCAAATCCAGCCAAAAAAAGAAATTAAAATTTAAACCATAAAATGAAAATGCAAACCTCTTTTTGCCATTTCTTTTTCCAAACATCTGCACAAATATCCTGCCAAAATTGAAAATGAAATGCAATTTCATTTTTCACATGAGCACGAGCCATTTGTGACAAAAATAAAAATAAATGCAAAACAGCTATTTGTCATTTCATTTTAGTCATTATTCTGGTTTTTCATGGCCAAATCTAAAATGAAAAAGCTAATAGAGAAAAGAAAATCCAAGCTTCACTTTGGCTTTGGCTTTTCTCCATGAAATGCAGAATACGTGTCAAAACTAAAATCAAAATGCAGTGTTGACGTTCTCATTTCTTTTTCACAGCAATCGGCTGCATATCTGACAAAATGAAAATGCAAAACTGATAAATCAACAGCAAAGTGACAGTTTGTGATTCAGTTTTCGGTGTGGACGCGCTTTAAGTGTCAAAATGAAAAGGCAAATGCAAACGAACATCAGCGCCACCTGCTGGACATTTACTTTTCATTTTTCACTTTTCGATTTCGTTTTCAAACTGACCAACATGCAAATATATGTTAATTAGCACTGGGCGGGGCTACGGGGTACATTTTAGGACATCCTCAGACCTCCGAGTCAGAACGGCATCATTCCTCAAACTCAGATCTGGTGAAACTGAACGTCAGCACAAACACCGTCAGACCAAACGGCCTCAGAGAAAAGGTATCAGACACGAGCCTGGTCGAGCATATAGTGGTTCATATAACTTAGAAAACTATTATGTATCTCGATATAAATGCCAGTATAATATTTCCAGTTTTTTCTGACGGTGTTTGTTCTGACGTTCAGTTTCACCAGATCTGAGTCATGACGATGGTTTTTCTGGAGACTCGAAGTCGTTTAGTTTGAGGATTGATGCCGTTCTGACTCGGAGGTCTAAGGATGTCCTAAAACGTACCCCGTAGCCCCGCCTAGTGCTAATTAACATATATTTGCATGTTGGTCAGTTTGAAAACGAAATCGAAAAGTGGAAAATGAAAAGTAAATGTCCAGCAGGTGGCGCTGATGTTCGTTTGCATTTGCCTTTTCATTTTGACACTTAAAGCGCGTCCACACCGAAAACTGAATCACAAACTGTCACTTTGCTGTTGATTTATCAGTTTTGCATTTTCATTTTCATTTTGTCAGATATGCAGCTGATTGCTGTGAAAAAGAAATGAGAACGTCAACACTGCATTTTGATTTTAGTTTTGACACGTATTCTGCATTTCATGGAGAAAAGCCAAAGCCTGTGAAGCTTGGATTTTCTTTTCTCTATTAGCTTTTTCATTTTAGATTTGGCCATGAAAAACCAGAATAACGACTAAAATGAAATGACAAATAGCTGTTTTGCATTTATTTTTATTTTTGTCACAAATGGCTCGTGTTCATGTGAAAAATGAAATTGCAAATGTAGACATTTCATTTCATTTTCAATTTTGGCAGGATATTTGCGCAGATGTTTGGAAAAAGAAATGGCAAAAAGAGGTTTGCATTTTCATTTTATGGTTTTAATTTTAATTTCTTTTTTGGCTGGATTTGCCTCCCATAGGAGGGGGAAGAACGGTCATTTTTAGTGTGTGGTTTTAGGGGGTGGGACTGAGAGTGTGTGGTGTGTGTGAACGCGAGAGGGCGCTGTTGTGTGTGTGAGTGTATGAGTGAGTGTATGTGCTCCTAAGCGGCGCACACACCGTGCACTCGCTGCTGTTCTGTGTTCTATGGCGCTGGGTCTGAACGCACTGAGCGTTTTTCTCATTTTTTCCTCGAGAGGTTTGACATGTAGAGGAGAAAAACTGCCATGAGCTCCAATTTCGCTCTGTCGAGAAGTTTAAGGAGGACTGGGAGCTTCCCTTCCGCGAGAACCGTGCGGATAGTCATACTAGGACAAGCAGCAGTGGGCAAAACAGGTCTGTCATTATTACTGCTGTTGGCATTTTATTCAGTAGCTGTGAAGCAGTCAGCTAGATGGAGCTCTCTCTCTCTCTCTCTCTGTGTGTGTGTGTGTGTGTTCAATTTTCTCTCTTAAAAGCATAATGAAGTCTAAACAGCTGCATGATAAACCAGTTAACTTATTCATTAGTTCTTCATAAAGCATGATCCTGTAATTGGCTTTTGCTCACTCGAATTTTCGAATGTAATGTAACTGCTGCACCATTTAAGGAGGAACGGAAAATTCGAATGAGCAGAAGCCAACTTCAGCTTCATTGAAGGAGTTGGTGCTAGATAAGCTCTTCTGCAGCTGTTCTGGTTCATCTTTATTCCTCTGTCTATC